TTCAAAAGCTCAGGAGAGGGACGCCGGGGGTGCTCAGTCGATGGAGCGTCTGCCTTGGGCTCAGGTCGTAGATTCGGGGTCCTGGGATCGAGTCCTGCATCAGGGAGCTCACGTCTTCCTCTCCCTCTGCCTGCCGCTCCCCCTGCTTGTGCACTATCTCTCTCTCTCTCTCTAAAGAAATACATGAAATCTGGGTGCCTGGGTGGCTCAGTGGGTTAAGCCTCTGCCTTCAGCTCAGGTCATGATCTCAGGGTCCTGGGATTGAGCCCCACATTGGGCTCTCTGCTCAGCAGGGAGCCTGCTTCTCCCTCTCTCTATGCCTTCCCCTCTGTCTAGTTGTGATCTCTCTCTATCTGTCAAATAAGTAAATAAAATCCTAAAAAAAAAAAAAAAAAAAAAAAAAAAAAAAACCTAAAAAAAAAAAAAAAAAAAAAAAAAGAGCTCGGGAGAATGCCAGGACCACGCTGTCCACTCGCCATGGCTCTTCCCAGAGAAGCCACTGGTCACTGGGGCGGCCTGTCCTGTCCTTGGACCTCGGCTTCCTCTCCCGTGGAGGAGGAGGGGTGGGCGAATTCTCAGACCCTAGGACAGGCTGGCTGTCCCCAGCAGAATCGGAGCAAGGACTGGTCTCCCCTGGGACCTGGGCCCAATGGCCAGTGGGGCTGGAGTCCAGGGTGCCAAGCAGACAGGCGCCCTGGCCACTCTCCATGGGCGAGGATGGACGCTGGGGGTGGGACATACTCCGGAACTGGGTGGAGGACCGCTCCCCCATCTCTGGGCTGGGTAACCCGGAGCCCTGCCCAGGCAAGGATGCGGCTCTGCCCAGAGTCCCCCCCAGCCCTGTTGCCATGGTAACTTTGTGTCATCTGACGCCCACTGGAGGTGCTGTGGCCTTCCTGGGTGTGTCTTGCGAGGCTGTCCCAGAGAGATGAGCGTCTGGCTCTGTAGACCGAGGGAGTCACAGCCCCCAGGCATATGACTGGCAAGAAAGGCAAAGGGAGAGTGAATGATTCTGCGGTGCTCTGGGACACCCAGCCTTCCTGCGTCTGCAGCCTGCGGACAGCAGATCCTGGGACTTCCCCGTCTCCGGAGCTGTATGAGCCAGTGCCCGGGACACCCTCATCCCATCTGTGCCTTTCCCTGTCCTCTGGGGAATGCAGACAGATACACCTGCAGAGGGAGCCACTCTAGGTGTGGGGGCCCCTTTGTCCACACAGCCCGATGATGGAAACAACTCCCCTGCTGGTTCCCGGCATCCTGCATGCGTTTATCTGGTGGATCTGAATCCTTCTAGCTGCAGACTTGGCCCTTCCCACTAGCCGGGTGGGATTAGCTGTTCAGTCCATCACACACGTCCATTGCTGACTGGGGTGGGGGCCAGCCCGGGCCAGGCAGACCCCAGAGACCCCATCCTAACCACCCTGGGGAATGGGGGCAGGCCTCAGGGCTGACACGGGAGCAGGCAGACTAAGGACATGGTTCTGAGGAAGGAGGGGGATCTGAGAGCAGCAGGTGTAGGGCCTGCCGTGGGTCTGGGTCTCCACCCCAACACACTGGAGGACTGGGCCCTGCCTCACAACGAGGTTGAATTAGTGCCTCCAATAAATGACGCACGGTTCCAAGAGGAACCCAGCCAGTTCTCCAAAGCTGAGACACTTCCTGGGCACATGATGTCAGGGGTGACAGGTGACCTCAGGGGTGACAGCTGTCTCATAGCTCCACAGGATGATAAGAGGTGCCCAGGGCCATCAGAACTCCCCAGACCGAGCACCTCCAAGTGCGTCCCTCCTGCTGACTGCATTCCACTCACACCCCCAAAGGCTAGGTGCCACAGACAGGAAGCACTTTCCAGAAGGACCCATGGGCATGTCTGCTCCAGGGGGACGAGGCAGTGATGGGCTGATGCCCTCCCCAAGTGCACCCATGTGGGGAGCAGAAACTGTCCACCGGCTGCTGCAGCAGCTACAGTGGGGCATGGAAGGGAGGTTTCTGTTGTCCCCAGAATCATAGGTCCTGCACACACCACTCTTTGGGAATGAGGCCGAGTGCACACAGAATGCAGAAAATGCTATCTGTCGGGCAAAGGCGCGCTTCTCGGCGCCCCCATGCCATACCTGCTGACCCCGGGGCACCCTGTTGGCTGCTTCATCCTCAGGCATGAAGCAAGGCTGAGAGCCAGGCGGGGAATGCCCTTGCCCTGCGGAGCTGGCCTGCCAGGGAGGACTGCAGTGCCCACATGGGGGAGGCAGGGGCCCCCGCCCCCGGACAGAGGGAGCAAAGTGCCCGGCTGGGAACATTTCCAGCCCATCAGCAATGAGAAGGAGCCCCACAAGCTGGGCTGGGGTGAGGAGGACACAGTAGCGGTGCAGGGAGAGAGGCTGATATAAGATGGCGAAACTGAGGCAGGTGCCAGTATGGGGAGAACGGGGATGTTCAAAGGGCCGAGGTAACACAGGCCTCTCCATGTTGACACGGGGCTGTGGCCCACATTCTGCCTCTCAGCTGCCTTGCGGACATGGGCCAGCCCTTCCCCTGCCAACCGTGGGACTCTGGCAGAGTCGAGGCTTGGCTGGCTCCTGGCCCAGGCCCAGAACAAGAGGCAGGGCAGCCCTTGGGTGGGGCAGGGAACAAGGTGTGAGTGTGGGGGCTGGGCCCCTGTCCTCAAACTGGCCGTAATTCTCACCGCCTGGGTATGGCCCCTGGAGGGCCATACAGGATCGGGGGCCTCTGGGGGTGGGCCTGCCGGAGAAGGGAGCTGAGCAGAGGGAGATGTAGGGCCCCACCTGTCTGGACAGAAATTTGTCTCGGGTCCCCTCTGGGAACCACACTGTCCCAGGAAGGCTTAGAGGGGATGAAACTTCCGGCCAGGAGGTGCTGGCCATTGAGGGCCTTAGCTAAGTGGTCACCTGGAGGAACCCAAGACAGCAGCTGGAAGCCGCAAAGTACCAGCATCCTGGGGACAGGGTGGGGCTGGCGGAAGAGTGAAGGTCTGGCAAGTGGCTTGCTGGAGGCCAAGTTCCAAGGGCCTCCATCCCAGCCTCCAGGCCTCCCCAGAGCATGCCTAGCCACCGTGAACAATGCCAGGGGCCATGTGCAGAGCAGGAGACCCTCAGGGAGGGAGTAGCTCCTCCCCCCACAACCCCTACACCCCCTACACCCCCTCTCCTGCCTGTGCCCCTTTGCTCCAGCCGGCCCTTCAGTTCCTTCTTGTCCAGCATCCTTGCGTCTGACCTGGCCTTCAGCCTGGGAACCGCTGAAGGAGAGGAGCTTGACCCCAAGCCCCCACCAGGCCACCAGGCCCCCTACTGGAGGTCAGGCTGGAGGTGAGAGTCTGGGCCGGAGGCCTCTAGACAGCTCACCTTGCCCTCTCCTGGCAGAAGCTGGACAGGCGCCGTCTTCATCTTCTATCCCCAGGGTGTCCCGTTCCCAACCCCAGGGAAGAGGGGGAGGGAGCCCAGGTGAGCACCTGGGCCTCAGTTTCCCCAGGGAACCACCGGGCACGTCCTTGCTCCGACGGATCCTTCCCCTGATGTGTCCCATACCTGTCCGTCCTGGGCTGAGATGCCCCCTACCCCCAGGAAGGACAGGATCAAGAGGAAGGTAAATTCCTTTAGCTAGGGACAGGTACACAGGAATTATTTTTTTCATACACTCCTTCCTGCCTCTATTTTCTCATACTTTTTTAAATTTCAAAGAAAGCTTCTGAAGACACAGTGACCATTTGCAGATTGGGGATTGACTCTCGCGGGTGGGGAGCCAGCACCTCTGGAAGCTTCTGTGCCCCTCCCTGGAGATACAGACCCCGGAGGGCACTTTGCACGAGCATGTGCTGTACACTTAGGGCAGGAGAGACCCCAAGCAGGCCCACGGAGGTGGGCTGGGAGCTGGGAGGGAGGAGGGCCTTGGGGGCAGATGCTGGGGTGCAGACCACCAGCTGGTTTGTTTGTAAGTGGTGAGACCTGGGGGAAGCTGGGACTGCAAGGTGGGTCCACAGGGCTGTGACCCTGGCTGACAGGGTCAAGCGACCACCAGCCTCTCCGAAGATGAGGCTGGAGGAGGGCCTGAGGACTGGCAGCTGCTCAGATCCCAGCTGCCCCAGGAAAGGGAGGGGGCCCTGCCCACAGGGAGCAGGAGGGCACAGGAGGGGGCTGGGCAGGACTTCACTGCCAGGCAGGCCCCTGGGCCCAGGGCAAGGCCTTGCTTTATGCCCCCTACAACACACGGGTTTGGACAGCCCCTCCAGCAGTCTCAGAAAAACTTCTCGGGTGTGGGACCCCTCAAAGCAGCACGACAGTGGGGGGACGGAGACCAGGTGGCAGAAAGGAGGGGGGGGTCCGGGTTGGCAGGAGGCCAGAGTAAGGTCCTACGTGGGGTCCTCAGCCAAGCCCTGAGCCTGGAAACCGTGGAGAGAGGACTCGTCCGTGTCTCCCTTCCGATCAGCCCAGGGAGGCTTCCAGGAGGAAGGGGCTCCTCCTTCCAGTTCGCCAGATTTGGGGCTTACGGCGACCCCGGGGGTAGCGTTGTCCCCCGCCCAGCAGGGCTCCTGCTCGGCCTGTGCTACTGGATGGCCACGTGCTCCCCCGGGGTGGGCGGGGGGAGGCTCCTCCGGCGGGCCAGGGGCGGCGTGGTGGTCACAATTTCCACACCTGGGGTGGGCGCCCGGAGAGACCCACCGCGGCCCGCTGGCCAGGGAGAGGACAGGCACCGTTTCCCCAGCCGCCGCGCCCACGCCCGCCTCAGTACCCCCATCTGCAACATTGGCAGGCGGGTCCACCACCGCGCGTGCCAGGAGAAGCGCAGCGCAGGCGCAGGCGCACTCCGTTTCGGGAGGGGGGCGGGAGGGCGCGGCCCGGGGCGGAGCGGAGACTTGGTCCCGCGCGCCCGCCCCCAGCCCGGAGTCTGCGCGTGCGCCCTGCGGAGGGGAGTAGGCGGGGCCGCAGGCGCGTCCGCCCCGTTCCCCAGCGTCCCCCGCGGCAGCAGGCACTGACGTGGCCGCCGTCAGAGCCGCCATCTTGTGGGAGCAAAACCAACGCCTGGCTCGGAGCAGTAGCCTCGCCGCGGCCGCCGAGGGTGAGGCGGCGGGCGGGAGCCATGGGACGGGGTCGGGGCGGCGGGCGGCGGGGACAGGTCCGGGCCGCCGAGGCTCTGCCCACCGCGGCGGCGTTGGGTCGGTGAGGCCGGGCCGGGCGGGGGCCGACGGGAGGCTGCGCCTGGGAGGCCCGAGGCCGGGCCGGGCCGGGGAACTAGGCGGGGCGGGCGAGGCGAGGTCTGGGCGGGTGGAGGGTGGAGGGTCGAGGGGCGGAGGGCGCTAGGGCTGGGCCGGGGGTCGAGGATTGGCTGGGGGTCAAGGGGAGGCCCGGCCGAGGCGGGGGAGGGGACCGGCCGGGCTTGGGCTAGGCGGGGGCCGGGGGGGGGGTTGCGTGGAGTCAGGGCCCGGGGCTGGGGTCGGCGGCGGCGCCGGCCCCTGAATCTCCCCCCCACCCCCGCGGCCTCGCGCCCCCAGCGCCGCCGGGGTGGACGCGCGGAAGTCCGGGTCGGGCCGTGGGCTCCCGCCTCGGGGTCTCCGGCACCCGCGGACCGGGACGCCGCCAAGGTCACGCGATGGCCGCGGTGGGATCCCTGTTCCGTGGGCCGGGGTCCCGGGTTCGGAGTGGGAGCAGCCGTGGGCGCGGGAGGTGGCGGCGCGGGGCTCGGAGGAAAGCCGCTGCGGTCGGGCTCGCTTCCTGAGCGCGGTCGACACGGAGCGCACCCTTCCTTCCTCGTTGTGGGGGTCTGGTTCCTGGAGGACTGTCTGCGCGGGTTCGCGGACTTGTTGCACTGTCGGGCGGGCATGCGGGCGGGGCGGGTGAGACGGGAGCTGGACGAGTGCGGCGTGCGGAGCTCGGCGGTACCGGGGCTCGGCGCACTTCACGCCGCGCTCTGCGCGCCTCCCATTTCCTCAGCGCCCGGCAGCCGCCTTCCGTGCCGCCGCGGACTCGCACGGGAAGGGGGTTCTGCACGGGAGGGGTGCGGAGCCGGGCGGTCCCGGAAGTCACCGCGGCCCGGCGGCTGCTGGTGTCCCTGCGGTCGGCTGTAGTTCCCCTTTCACAGCCAACAGTCAGCGCTCAGCGCTTCTGTGTGCCCGCTGTCTGCGCCTGCGGCTGAGCGTGCCCGTGCGGCGCTCCGAGGCTGCGGGACCCGCCATTCTCCCTACAGCTCCCCGCTTGTGCCCCTTGCGGAGCCCGTGCCGCGTGAGCGGTGTCCAGGTGAGGGTCATCACACGACTGGCGGTGAGTTAGCGCTCCCGCCTTCCTGCAAAGGCTCGGTCTTGTCCGCTGGCCTCCTGGGTTGTCTTCAGGACGCCTGGGAAATTCGACCCGATCGTCTGTCTCCAGGTGCGGCAGTCCTCACCGGCAGGTGTCCACATCTACCGCGTCCAGGGACTTAGGTCATGCTGGTTCCCTTGCTTTCTCTTCTCCAAGGTTAGGAGCACCCCTGGTGTGCTGAGCTGAAGCTCCCAGGCTGGGACAGGCTTGCACTTCCAGGAGGGCACAGTCTGCTCCTGCTGGCTTCAGGAACACCGGGTGCGGCCTCTGCAGCCTAGACTCTCTCCAGTGCCTGGCAGCCGCATCTGGGACCTGGCACCGTCTCCGAGCAGTATAGGAAGTGTTGGAGTAAGTTGAGTCCATTTTCCACAGATTCTTTCAAAAGGGGAATTTCAGTCTGCTTTTGGGATCTGCTTTGCTGTTCCTGTCTGCATAGAATGAGGTGCTCGGCGCCTTATGGGTGTGGGGGATGTTCAGTCTTTCAGAAACGCTTTGGACCCGGTCATGGATCCGTTGTAACTGCCTTGTGGGAAGGAGAGGATGGCTTTGGGAATGGGGGTGAGAGAGGGTGCCGGATGGAGTATATGAGTGTGTGTGTGTGGGGGGGGGGGGGGG